CATATCTTTGCTTTAAACCGAAGAAAATAAATGAATAGAACTTGCATCATGACCATACTTTTATTTTCATCTTTTATCGATTTATTTAATTCGAACATTTGTTAAGAAATGAATAACATACTGGAATAGAAGATTTATATAATTATTTTTCAACTATTACATGAACATCAATTAATTGATTAATATTTAACTTACTTTATAAAATACACAAATCAGATGAAAAGAATCACCATAAAAGCCACTCGTTTTTGACATGAATTTGAAATAGACAAACAATCAAAAATATTATCTTCAAAACAAGCAGAATATATGAATTAACATTTGGTGGATCTAAAATTCACAACGCCTTTGATATGCGATCTTTGCGACAAGTTAAAAACTTTGATTTTAAACGAATCAAATAGACGAATACGTATATTATAAGAATTGTCGATCAATTATATCATATATATTTACATTACAAGTTGAATAATTAATTATCAATAAACAAAATAAATAAACAGAATTCTAGCAGTGATTGTATTCATTTATGTATCAGATCATATGAGGAAAAAACGACATGTAAAATTTTAAGTTATAATAGTCATAAAACATGAACACAACAATGATAATAAGTGTTTATTTTATATATAACTTTTTCTTGTCTCAGTAACTCGAAATCTTTCCTTTAAAGTCAACAATATAAGTGAAAAGAATTCTAACAAAATAATTTTTCATTCATTATGTTAAACTCAGTCATGTGATCAAGTCTTACATTGTAGTTTCAAGTAACTAGACTAGATGAATCAAAATATCGTCATGATCATGTATTTATGATATAAATTTTGTTCAATTCATTATATAACAACTTGCACTTTAATGGGAACAAAATCAATGAATAAATCTATTGGCAAGGGCATAATTATTTAACATGCACATACCTATGAATTGAACAATTTACCAGCTTTAGTAGGATGGTATATTAACATAGATGAACAAAACTTTCGTCAAAACTATTCATGTATCACTTAATCTTTTGATTCATCACTGAATTCGAGGCTTTCAGTCAAACTCAGCAAAATAATTATATAGACGCATCGTTGTGATTATCTATTTATTTCGTAATATTCAATTAACTTTCAAAATTAAAAGAATTAATTTAAAATGAATAAAAAATACGAAGTGAATATTGCTTATAAACATTTTTCTATCATATCATTTTCTATTATCTCATTTAATTAACATATATATAATACTCAATAAACAGTATAGACAAATAAAACTTTAGTTATGATTATTCATTTGTTAAATCATCAACAATTAAATAACAAACTTAATGTGATAATTAAAATGTAAAGAAACGTAAATGAATAAACTTGTGCAATATGTTCACAATGTTTCCGTGATTTGCCATGCTGTATCACTTGAGGAAATTGAAAGATTTAATGTGAGGTGAGGAAAGAGATGAACAGAACTGTGGTGAGTAGTATTCGTGTGTAATACGATATTGTATTAGTTGAGAAAGGAGAAACGTTTGATAGAAAGCGAGAAAAGAGGTGAACATAACTCTTCTGATTAGTGTTCATATGCGATGTCATATTGTATCAGGTGAGGAAATGAAAAAGTCTGATGCCAAAGTGAGACAAGAGATGAATATAACTATTCTGATTAGTGTTCATGTGTGATGTCACATTGTATTAGTGGAGCAAGTGGAAAGCTTTGGTCCAAAGTGAGGAAAGAGGTGAAGGAAACCATTCTCAATAGTGTTCCAATGTGATATGATGTTGTATTAGTCAAGAAAGTGAAAAAGTTTGATGCAATGTGAGAACAGAGGTGAACAGAGCTGTCCTGACTAATGTTCGTATGTGATCTGATATTGCATGAGTTCAAAAAGTGCAAAGTTTCGATGCGAAATTAGAAAACAGGTGAATTGAACTATGGTGAGCAGTGTTCATGTGTGGCATGATGTTGTATTACTTAAGGAAATGGCAAGATTTAATATGAAATGAGTAGACAGATGAACGAAAATGTAATCGAAGGTATTCATATGTTATGTGATGTTATATTAGTTGAGCAAGTAGAAAAGTTTGCTTCAAAATGACCAAAGAGGTAGATAGAACTATGTTAAGAAGTGTACGTATGGAACGTGATGTTGCAATAGTTGAGGAGATGAAAATTTTTGATCCGAAGTGACTAAAGAGGTGGATACAGTTATATTAAGAAGTATTCGTATGTAATGTTATATTGCATTGGCTGAGTGAGTGGACAGACTTGATACATAAAGAGAGAAGAGGTGAGCAGAAGCATCATCAGGAATACTCGTATATAATGTAATATTGTATTAATTGAGCAAGTGAAAAGATTGGGTGCGAAAGGAGATAAAATGTGGACAGAAATATGATAAATAGCCTTCGTATGTAATGTGATGTCGTATTCACTGAAGAAATGGAGAGGCTTGATGCGTAGTGAGAAAAGAAGTGAACACAAATGTCATCTAGAGTGTTCATGTGGGATGTGATGTGTTATTTGATTGAAAAAATGAAAAAGTTTGATGTGAAGTGAAAACAGAAGTGAACGTAAATGTGGTGAGTACTGTTCGTTTGTGATGTGGCGTTGTATTATTTGAGAAAGTGAAAAAGTTTGGTGCAAAATAGGAAAATAGGTGAATAGAACTGTGGTGGGTAATGTTCATATGTGATGAGACGTTGTTTTAGTTGAAAAAATTGGAAAATTTTCATGCAAAGTGAGAAAAGAGTTGAATTGAACTGTCCTGAGTAGTGTTCGTATGTAGTTCGATATTATATTAGTTGAGACAATCAAAAGGTTTGATGTGCAGTAAGAAAATAAGTGAATAGAATTCTGCTGAGTAATGTTCCTCTATTATATGGTGTCATATTAATTGAGGAAGAAGAAAAATTTGATGTGAGGTGGCAAAAGAAGTGAATAGAATTATGCTGAGAAATGTTCGAATGTGACATGATGTTGTATGAATTGAGAAAGTAGAAATGTTTGCTATGAAGAGAAAAAACAAGTGAAGAAACTGTGGTAAGCGTAAGCTATAGTATATATTCTAACAGTATTAGCTTTAACCCTTACATGTATCCTGTATTAATATTATTTTGTGACGGCTGACAAAACTCCACTATACTTTCGTCAATTGGCGAACGTCCACTGTACTTTCGCCAATACATACCTTGGAATTTCGTCAATTGGCGAAAGTCCACCGTACCTTCGCCAACACATCCCTGTACTTTCGCCATTGGCGAATGTCCTATTGGCGAAAGTCCGAATTGGCGAACTTCCGGTAACCCATTTATTATATGCTGTACTAGATATTTGTATGAATGAAATATTCTTTATGAATTTGTTTTCACAAAAGCAGGGTGTGGGTTGTGGCTTGTGGGTGGGGTGTGGGTGTGGGGTGTGGGGTGTGGGCGTGGGATGTGGGTGTGTGGTGTGGATGTATGGTGTGAGTGGGTGTGAGTGGGTGTGGGTGGGTGTAGGTGTGGGTGGGTGTAGGTATGGGTGAGAGTGTGTGTAGGTGTGGGTGTACGTAGGTGTGGGTGGGTGTGGATGTAGGTGTGGGTTTGGGGTATGGGTATGGGCGTGGGTGTGATTGTGGGGTGTGGGTGTGAAGAAAGTGAAATCCCACAAGTACATGCAAACTCACATCCACATCCCACCCACACGCACACCAACGCCCACACCCACACCCACACCCTAATGAAGTAATATGAAAAAAGGTTGATGTTTTTATACTTTATGTTATGTAAGAATGACTTATCGCTCGAACGTTCGAGTCGAAGGCATAGAATTTCAGATGTAATATTGATGATTTACGGTTACAGAGGACAAATAAAAGAGAAAGGAGTTGAGTGTGACTGATTGTAGCATAGAGCAGTGACTCATCTCATGAATAACCAATGGTGCACTTTAGAAGGCGCTGGAAATTTCATATATTCTCAAAAATATTAGATTTCATCATCAGAGGTAAGATTTTAATCCTACGCTTTGTTTGTGAAATTTATGAAATTGTGAAATAGTATTTGATATATATTGATGATCATAAGACGGTAATGTTGAAAAAATTGTTCGATTTGGTTGTCTGTGTAGATGTCATCCTCATGACGTATTTTGATGTATTTACTTACATAAATTGATAAAAGAAAACATTTATTAGAGATACAGTAGAAAATGATATGGTTTTGTTTACTAACTTTTAGATAATCTTTTGGTTTTACTCAAGTTCTAAACACTACTATGATTTTGATGAATTTTTCTTTTTAAAAGCTCAAAAATACTTAGATATAAATGGTGTTGTCAAGAATTATGAAAGGACACTAAAACAATTTCTAAATGATCAAACAATCAGAGAATCTTTACCGACTCGTATCTTTATATCATACCTTTTTTTATTTTATATACCTAGACTTCATTATACTTTGAATATCTGTCGATTGAAAAATAAGAAACAACAGAAATTTCGAATTGAACAAGAATTAGCCAATTTATGATTTCAATCAATAATTCAAAATCAGTAGAGAAAAAAATGATCTTTAATAAAAAGAAATATATATATATATATATTACCTTCGAACTCTTCATATGAATGAGATGTTGAATCTATTAGAATAAAAAATTCAAGTTAGGCTTTTATATTTCAGACAATACTAAAACACAACATGAATTTATGAGTAGCTAGGTCAAGCTGTTAGCCATTGAATCCATGTGAATTACTACAGAATACCAAATACTTAATGAGAAGACAAACAAGAGTTAATTTAGTCGAACTCTTCAATCCAATGCATATTTTTTATTGATTACCAATACTCTGTAATCAAAATACAATAAGGAATACACTTTCTTTTTGAATGTTGTAATTACTTAATATTCAACTATTCTTTTAGTTGTTTCTAAACAAAGATAAAGTGTTGCTGATCTTATGGAATGCCTTTATGTTCAATGTTTGTTGTAACATTTTCAATATTATCACTTGATTCGACTTCAAGTGTAATAGATTTTTACATAGATTTGCATAGTTCTTGTATAGTTAAAAGTAATAGAAGAGAAAATATAACCATATCCTTCGTGCGAGCTGAATGAAATAACATTGGAAAAATTGTGCCTTTTATATAAGATTGTGCATAACGTTTTGCTAGGGTAGTAGCCCCATAATATCCAGCTGAATGCCTAATGAATTTTATACGAAACTAAAGAGTGTCAAAAACTGCATTTATTAGGACTAAATAGTAAGAGTTATCAAAACATTTTAATGTCGAACTTACGAAATTTTATGCTTGCTTAGTATAAAAAATTGAGGCACCAGCAATTCAAATATAGAATAGAATATTTTCTTTTGGTATCTTTGCATGATTCGATAGAGCTCGTGCAGTTCTACAAAACCGTATATATTAAAAGATTTGTAAGCCACCTTGCTAAGAAACAAAAATTCGAAAAATTTCCTATAAAATCTTCAAAATTTCGGGAAACTCGATTTTTTATATGGAAGAGAAATGCTGGATTGTTTTAATAAAATTAGGTTTTTTTATTATTTTTACCGATGAAGACGCTTCAAAATATACTCATCCAATGCAGAGTGAAAAACTGCGTCTAACGAGTATATCTCGAAGTGTCTTTGTTAGTAAAAATAATGAAAAAACCTAATTTCGTTGAGAAAATCGAGTGTTTTTATTCCGTATTAAAAATTGCTGGTGCTTTTATTTTCTATGCTAAAAACGCATAAAATTTCCCAAAATTTCGTAAGTTCGCCTTTAAAATGTTTTGATAACTGTTACTATTTAGTACTAATAAATTCACCTTTCGACGTTCTTTAATTTGGTATAAAATTCATTAGGGTGTGGGTGTTTATCTTCTTTAAACAACACCTACACTCCACCCCCCACCCCCACTCTCACCCACACCCTCTTTTAACCAGTTAGATATATTTTGTTGTGATTTGCCAGAATATTTTTGTATTTTTTCAAGGTTCGTAATTAATAGTTGGTTTCGTAAACAATTTGTGATAGTATCTTCTGATTCCTTCAGTAATATAGTTTGTGAGTTAAACGTTTTGGATGAATCTGTCTTTATGTCTGGAATATCAAAATATTGTAAAAATTTTTTCATAAACATGATAAAGGTTGGCATGCCATCTTGTTGTTCAACATACCAAATAAGTGCATCACCAGTTAAAATTTCTGAAATTAATTCATTACGTTCCAGAGAAGAGAGTTGTAATAAATCAAATTTTTCTATAATATGTTTTAACCAAATTTTTGGATTCCTGTGCCTATCAAATTTTTGTATTGAATTTAATCGTTGTTGCATTAAAGATTGTTGGTTTTGATCATTTTCAGCTGGTCGCTGATCATCTAAATCATGACCTAGCGTGGATGTTGTTGATTCAGTAATAGTTTTAACATTTTTATGAAGATCAAGTGTTGTAAGTGTAGAATCAATATTAATTTGTTCAGAATTTGACATCATTAATAGCTGCTGTTTTTCTTTTTTAGAAGGTAATAGTAAAGAATCAATAGTCGTGTGTGTAAAAACCGTTGTAGATCGAGTAGGTTTAATATTCATCAATGTTATTTCTAGCCAAATATTTGCTTTGCCTGCTACGCGGAATTTTTATTTTTGTTTTTTAAAGAAAATATCGACTAGTGCACCATTGTTAAGATTTTGTTTATTTTTCACCTTAATCCGTTTGTTCTTTACTTCACAAGTGAAAAAAATATCATAGTCTTCTTATACATATCTTTCTAGATATATATGAAAGAAAAAAGAAAAGGATCGTCCATCTATAGTGGATGACGATCGTGACAGACTTGTCTGTTGATTAGAAGAGCACTCAGTCTCTTTCTCTTTGATTCATCGTCAGTTTTTGTAAGGGTTCCTACACATCACGTTTCTTGACATATTGCATGCTTTCATCTATGTCAAGACTATGCAAGGGCTCGGTTTCTAAGTTTAAGACATTTTTATTCTTTTAATATGAATTAGTGAGTATCCTTTATTACGGTGATCGTAAAGGTGGAAGTAATATTTTATATAAAATGAATGAACAGATCACATTAATTAATAGTGACTGTTGGATGTAAAGTGTAGGTTTTCGCTCAGTTATAGTCACCTTCATGATCACAAATTACACACTCACATTCAAAAATAATGAAGTACAAAAGGAAACCATCTAGAGTTAAAATGATATATGTATTGTTATATAATACAATTATTTGTTTTTCTTCGGAGTATCGGATTTCGTACTACTAACACTTTCCAGGCAGAAGTAATCTGTTAGATCGCCAATATTCCATTTTCCTTCAATTTTAAATCCACCCAAGTTATCACAAGTAAGATTTCCTTTGTATATAACAGCATGTTTTCCAACATATTGCTTTGTGAAACAAACTTTTCCTTCATTGTCATAATATCCAGCCATAGTAAAAGGTGCGATTGTATCATTTCCTTGACCTGAAACTCTTCCTTCTCTTAAGCTAAAGAAATCAAATACCATATCAAAGTCCTGACCATATTGACAATATTTTCCTGTTACAATACCACCTTCAAAACGTGTAATAACCTGAGATCGATCGGAATCTTCGACTTCTTTCTCTTTAAGAGCAATATTAATTCGTTGTAGAAGTGCTTTAAAACTAGAATCAAACTGACTTTCGTCCTGCATATTGATTGTATTTAAGGAAGCAATTGAATTTCCTAGCCATGTATTCTGAAGATTATTTGCATGCTCAAGAAGAACAGGAACAATATTCTTCTTCAATTGAAGAGCGTATGTAAATTCTTTCTGACAATTAATACTTTTACTATAAGCAACAGTATCGAAACTAATGATCAATGCAGCACCTTCAACACCAGTAGCCATAGCAGTATTGATATTTCCTTTCCTTTCATATCTCCAGCGATATCAAACCAAATTGGAATATTTTTTTTGTTTGAGCATACTCGCTATTCGCTTAACGTATGCCTGACTGTTCCATTGATAGCTTAACATAATATGCGAGCGTTCAGATTTTGACGATTGTTTTCGAGAAACTTCTAAATGGAAGCTATCCGATAATTTGTTTAGCAGCCATTTTCCATCAAAAAAAAAACCAAAATTTATCATGAGTTATAATTCCAGAATACTGAACAGTATGTCGTCCGATGTAATGCTTTTTAAATTGAAATTCAAGGTCTTCTGTGCCTGATAAACGTGTATATTTACCATTAATTACAAAGCTACCAATTTCATCGTTTCCTTCACCAGCAATATATCCATTAGTCATAACAAATAAATCAAATGTCATATCAAACTTTTCTCCATTCTGAATATAATAACCTTGAGCGAGAGTTTCATCAACAAGAGTTTCAACTTTTTGATCTTCACCTCTAGAATCACTGATATATGGATGCAATTGTTCTGCAAGACTATTAAGCTTTTGTTCGAAGTTATCAGTATTCGTCATTTTTATAAATAATGCAGCAGCGCAAATAACGCCAAGCCAACCGCTTTGAGAATAATTAGCTTGCGTCTTTATGGGAATGATAGGAATACCGGCTTCATCCACATAGGACATAAGATATTTTGCAGTTTGTGATGCTTCATATGCTTCACTCATTAGAGGTAAAACAACTCTTGCTTCCTGAGTTGCTATTTTTATCATCTCATGAATATTCATTGATGGACAAACAACTGGAATACGCCTAGCAATCAATCCTTTAACTAACTTTTGTGCTAAATCATATTGACATGAACAATAAGAAATCATTACTTTGCTTCCTTGTCTATGTGAAACTTTCGGTGGTTTTATCATTTTTGTTTCTGACGTATATGCTTTTGAAAGAGTCAAATGAATGAAAAATTTGTCATGCATCTCATCTATATTCCAATATCCTTCTATTACACAGGTTAATTTTTGAAATGAAATATTTCCTTGATATATGACGGAATGTTTCCCAATATATTGCTTTTGCATTGTAATAGAACCACTATCATCTGTAAGTTGGTATTCACCAGCAAGAGTAAAAGCTCCAATGGTATCATCTCCTTGACCAATTACTTTTCCTTGTTTCAAGCCAAAAAATTAACAAAAATATATAAATTAGATACAAATATATCTTTCGATCGAATTCAGAAATACCGTAAATTCCATCGGAAATTCTTTCCCATATTGATAGTAACTGGCAGTCAGATCTCCTGATTTAGTTCCACCACAAAATAGAAACTCTTTTATTGGTTGCGGTTCATTCTTTTCATCTCTTTCAAGCACAAGACTACTGGTTTTTATTTCCATAGATATCACAGATTTCATAACTTCATCAAAATTAGTTGAACAACTCTTCGTAGGAGCTAAAATGGCACCTAACCAGCCTATACATTGAAAATCTTCAAAAGTCTTAATAGTCAGAATTGGTGCTTTAGTTTGATCAGCGTAGTTCAATAATTTCGATCCGGTTTTTGATACTTGTAATGATGGAGATGGAAAAACTAGAACTACAGCAGCGCTTTCAATACCATTTGCAATTTTAATATTCACATCTTCATTTGCTTTAGCACAGTAAATTCTCAATCGTCGCTGGATGAAATTATTCATCAATTCTTGAGCCAGCGATCTACTGGATTCATCGTCCTCTGCATATGCAAAATATATGTGCTTCTTCACAGGGTATAATTGAGCTTCTTTTTTCTCTGGAACTTTCCTAACAGCTAAAGTATAGACAGTATTATTCCATCACAGGTCGTTTTAGATATTTGTCAAAATCTTTTTTAAATTCAAATAATGAACTTTAAGTTTGATGGTTCGTCGTTCTTCGCTCGCTATCAAATGCATAAAAGTTTAGTTATTAATTAGGAAACACCTCTCTGATTGTGTGTATCGGATGTTTCATGAAGAATGAACCTGGAAGTATCTCTGAGATTCTTTCATTATTGTTTAGATAAGTAAACATATTTTTATAATCAAAAGTTCACGTTTAAGGTTCTCTAAACAATCCGTTTATAAGTAGAATCAAAAACAGATGTAGATATGTTTGACAAAGACAAAAACTAAATATATCAGTTCTAGGAATGGTCCATTATCTTTATAAATTAAAGATAAAGAATCATTTATCTTTATTAACTAAAGGAAAACTAATAGAATATATGATAATAGTATTTTCCCTACAAATAATGTTAAAACTATTCTCGAATTACAAAGTTGGTGTTGAAATGAATTTCTATTACTGAATATATCTACTTTCATAGAAATAAGATCTTACAGCGAGCCAGATATTCAGAATTGTGCTGCAGAAAGGAAGTTTTCGAGTCGGATTGGTGCCATATGCGTAAATAAACGACATGTTGGATGGGAAATTTTAGCATACTCGCATTGCATCCGATAATTGATGACATCTCAGAACATAAATATTTTGTTTCTAGACAACATTTTATGTAAACAATCAGTGTGTCTGAAAATACATTTTTTTAAGCAAACAATCGTACAGTTAGCGAGATGTGCATCATGGAAATTAGATAAAGAGAGAAAGAAATACTTCACATAAATTTTCAAACAACTTCCGTTCGGAAAGAGTTCATATTTCAGCCTCGAGATTTGTGTTTATGTGCACAGGCCCATAACCAGTTATCATGTCTTTTTAAGGATCATCGAATCTAAAACGTATTCCAATTAGTCCTCTAAATACTGAAGCTTGCGCTCCCCTCTTTTATGTCTTGCAGAGATTCAGACAAGAGTAGTCTTTTAGTTGATTTTAGAATGTATCTAGTATTGAATATTAGGCTGAAATTTATTAAAGGAACTTAGCGGTTGAAGAAGATTTTGCTTGAAGACGATTTTGCTTGAAGACCCTTTTTTGTACGAAAAGTGTTATTTTTTTCAACAAAGAAAAGTTTTTCATAAATATTTGATTTTTCAGGTATCATTCTTGATTAAAATATATTAAAAGAATACAAAAGCCCTCAGCGTAAGTTTTTTAAAGTTCAAACTTAGGGTATGATTACTTTTATTTTAGTCTAAATTGAAAACCGAAATGCTACTCTTAATGAGGACACTCGTTTTGTATATTCAAAGAAGATGAAATAGAAAATATACAACGTTTGATATTGAATAGTATCTAATGAGCGATTATTTTATCAAATATTCCACTGAGGAGGAAAATAAACGTAAAATAGAAATGGACCATACTTTAAGTTAAATGTGTGAGTTTTCTAACATGTGGAGAATACTGCTTATTAGTGACCGTAATGGGTACAGTAAGGTTATACCTAGAGTATTGAATATATCACCATCCACCACATAACTTACAAGTTAAGAGATTCACTATGATGAAAAGCTAAGGGTACGTTATTCTCAGTAATTGATTTCTTGATACTTTGGCTTCATGTACGTAGATTGATATCATTGGATAGTGAGCAGTACTCCAAAGAATATCAAATTATCTAATTTTGTAGAAAACAAATTTCTATATCTTCTGAGACATCCTCGACCCAAAAGCAGTGAAGTATTGTAAGGAAAAATGAAAACTATGAAAGTCTTTGCAAATCCATTTTTGTAACCCGAGACCGCAATCAATGTTTTACATGTCTTTGTATTTTTCATAAAAGTGTCAGATAAATCTGATATTTGAGATTTAGAAACTACTAATAGTACCCTATTATTTTGCATAGTTAAATCGAAAATTAAATTTTTATCGGCCACAAGCTTCTATTTAAGTTGAAACGTCCTCTCGTTCTAGAAATCGAAGTTCGAAAAAATTTCTCATTAGAGTCGGATTTGAAATCTGAAGAAATGCAATTCCATAATGTGCAATCATAATGAGCTTTAGTTTCTGTCGTGATCCTTGACGTTTCACCTTTCACCCCAAGCAAATGTACTTTATTTCATATGATCTCCTATTCGGTGTAGGTAAGTAGTTGCTAAAGACTCACCATTGAATTGTTGACTTGAAGGTCCACAACCCATATATGACAATCGTTTTCAGGTGAATTGTTAATTCGAATATAATATTATAATGATGACAATCAAAAAAGATCTATAGCACAAAGCATATTGGCTTTTTGACATCTACAACTACAGTGCTTTTTATTAGCACGAACTTTTTTTTTCTCTAACATTCTTTTTCAAATCTCATGCAAAAATCGATAGAAATTGATGCAGACTTTCTTAGAGATACGCATAGCTATATTCAAAGCCAGGTCAATCGAAAGCAGAGATTGAATACAGTCAATTTCTCTATATCCACCGAAAGTACTTTACTATTTTTCATTTCAACTGATCTAGTCTGCTATATATTAGATGAAAAATACTGTTAGATTTAGATAATATTCATGTTCGCCGCTTTTAAATCATACGTTGCTGATCCTTCCACCTTTATATCTTCATACTGAATTTATCAGTCTACAAAAAAACACTTGCATCTATTGATGAAACCGGTTTACATTCTAAAGAAAAGAGTATCCGAAAACTGTAATCTGAATAAAACAAGACTGCCCGTTTAAGATCGATTTTGATCAATCTAAACCAAACAAAAAAGTAAATACTCGATAATATGAAAAAGAACTTGCATCCAAATCTTGATCAATCTAGACAGATAAAATTTGAATATAAGATAGTTTGAAGAAAAAGCTTAACTTTGAACTCGCAACGAAAAAAAATTGTAAGAAACGGTGGTGAAACGCAAACCATCAGAGGAAAACGCTAGTTTTGGGTTATAATGTTTTTTCTCTATGCATAGTGCGTTTTCATCGGTAGTTTTTAACAACAGTGTGTTCAGATGCATAGTTGTTATTTGAAATGCGTTTTTTCAATTAAAAATAAAACTCAAAAATGACATCTAAATACATTTATTTTTATGCGTTTCGACGCATCTATCTTTTTCCTGCATTCAAAGGCATATTTTTCTGCGACACGTAAAAATGTATTTTTTAATTTGTGCGTACTCGAAAAATCGGACGTTTCACAAACGCTATGAACTCGTTACTTTTTTTCGTTTCTATTAGAAAATATTGTGTTTTATCAGCCAACCCTCTTAGTACCTAAATCATTAGTTGAACTGAAACCGGTCCCTGTGAGATAAAGTCTGCTGCTATTTATGTAGATATTTTCTATAATTACTCTTACAAATATATCTTTCGAACAGACCTGTTAGAATCATGAATTTCATAAAAGTAGTACAAAATTTAAAAAAAAAACCAGTGTTTGTGAAAATAATTTTGAATAAGTTACAAAAATTCTAGTGTAGATAATAGGATGACAATTCTGTTAATGATTTGAGAGAGCAGTAATCTATAGAAAAATCAAGTAGAATGAGAGACTTTAATTCAAGTTGTCTTTTGTAAAGGTGTTTCAATCTCTTTGTATCCAAAGAATTCGTCATTATTTATTTACTTGAGAGTTGTGACCAATTCTCTTACATAGGCGATCGAGATTACACTAGTATTTTGTTCAAAATAAATGTCGAATAAAAATAGCCTATTCACTCTACGAATGATAGCTTCGTAATTTTCCACTTATTTTCAGAAACAGATTGTGAATGTCGACAAACAGCAATTATCATATTCCTTCATTATCTTTTGTTTTCATGTCTTGTAAGTGTCTTCTTTTTCAACAAGTAAATGAAGGTATTTTAAATTGCGTATCTATCTGCTTGCTGTATATTACTTTATCTTTAATGACTGAACCTATATATAATGCTCTGTCACAATTACATAACAGAAAGACAATACCGTCGCATAAAGTTTTTTCACTGAATAAAAATTTTCAGAAATATCTTAATTTCTTTTTCTGTTTATTTATTCAAAGATTTTTTGAGTGAGTTT